TTTACCGATTGGCCCGCCCGGTCCGAACGAAAAGCTTCGTTGGGCCGGGCCGGGCCGGGCTCGGGCCGGGCGGGCCGGGCCGGTCCACTGGGCCGGGTGGCCCGTTTCGAGCCCTGGCTCAGAACTAAGCCATTTAAAAATGGTACGTATCTTTTATTTGAATTTCTATAGAGTTCATTAAGCACAAAAATAAGGTGAAGATATTCTCGAAATAAGGGTGTGGGTCATTCGTGCATATTCGCTCGTCGATATCAGTCGTATATATCTTATTCGATTCTTTATCATACTTAGAATGCATAAGCTTACATTTCAGCTCGATAAATTTTCTTTTTTTTTACTATCTATACATTTCCTTCTCTTTCATTATCTTTAACAAGGAATCTACTAGCTAGTGCAAGGTGGTGCACCAACCATGCATTCAAACAGAGACTCCTCACCCCGTTCTCGTTTTTCACCTGGTATCCCACAACAACAGCAACAACGTCAAGGTGATAAATTACAATACGAAACATTTGATCTGAATGACATGATGAACAAAAACCAACGTGATCAACGTGATGTAAACGAAAAACGTTAATTGTCTGATTATCATCATATGAATCCGTGGGTAAATTACCCATCTCATTCATGTTCACGTTCATCCTATGTTAATGATTCATCCAGATTTAATCGGACCACCAACAACATTATACGTCCCTTAATGGAATACAACAATTCGAATGATTCACCAAGCGATATACAAGTAAACACGTCCAAAATGTATCGTTTAAACAAGAAAAGAAAACAATGCATGGCAGATGAACCGATGGAACATAGTTACGATGAATCACCATTTTGTCAACAAGTACGTGATATTAATGTTAATTGTCCACAACCATATACAACAACATCAACATCAATTAATACATCGAAATTTATTACTGAAGAAGCAAAACGTTTTGCACAATCCCGCTATCCATACTCTCCGATTACGTTATTATTTAAATCTTCAAAAATTAATGATAAGATGATCATCAACGAATTGATAAACTACTGCAAAGAAAATTATTCATTTGGCCTTGATCTTGCTGGTTTTCGTACGTCTTCAAATCGATGCAAAGTCAATGAATATAATTTATTAATATTTGTTAAAAATAGTTTATCATTTTCTTTTCTTTTAACTGATATAAAATGACCAGAAGCTTTTGATGGTGCAACATTTTCAATTGAACGTCAACCAGTTATTCCTCCACAGCTAGTAGTCGTTATTTCAAATGTTAGTTATACAACAAATATATTAGAATTTGAAAAGGACATTAAAACAAGATATAACAATATTGTTAAAGTTGTTCGATTAAAAAACAAGAATCAATATGATACAAAATTTGTTAAACTTGAATTTAACTCATCAAAAGTACGTGATGAAATTTTAGCTAAAGGTTATATGATGATCAATTACTTGAAGTATGCGGTGAAAGAATATCTACCACAAGCATCTATACTGATCTGCTCCAACAGTATGGGACTGTGGCACTTCAGGAAACAATGTAAACAAACTAGTACAACATGTAAAGTTTGTTCTGAACAGTTTAAAGATACTGTCAATCATCAATGTCAAGGTGTAGTTAAATGTCTACATTGTGATGGTGTACATTATTCAAATGATTTAAAATGTAAAGTAATTAAACAATTTCGTGCAGATCTCACTAGCTCTCTTTTATCATCAGCATCAAAATGAAAATCAAACACGTTATTCAATAAACAACTGAATTCAACATTAGAATTTCCACAATTACCACCACCACTTACTAGAAAACAGCCATTCAACGAAAATTATATGTCATTAAATGCTCAAAATGGAATTATGAAAAAATTAGATCAAATACTCACCTCAATCAACAACTTCGAACATGCAATTGATACTTTAACAAAACCATAGCTGCGCAAATACGAGTACAACTTGTATCCACTCGTACCACTACAATCCTAGACCTACTCCTGCATTATGAAAAAAAACAGAACTCATGTACTCTACACGCTATGTACTCTACAGACTATGTACTCTACACAGACCCCCCCCCCCCCCCCATTTACTCTGAAAAAACCGAGAATTCTAGAATTCATCTACTCTACTCACTATTTATTTTACCT